CCCCCCAGAGGGAGGCAGAGACCCCCCCACCCCCAAGCTGGTGGGCGGGGGGCCGACCCCGGGCCTGGCGTCCGTCCTCCACGGGGACACGTGTCACACGGCGGCTCGGCCGGCCGAAGGGTGACAGGTGCACGCGAGGCGTGTGGCCACCGGGGCAGCGCATCTGCGCCCCTGTGCGGACCCTCGACCCCCCCAGGCCCAGAGAGGACGGACGGAGCCCTCGTCCCAACCTGCCCTGGGGCCCGGGCGCCGCCACCCACGAGCCACCGGGCGGGCACACGCGTGTTCTCGTTTGCTCGACAGACGCGACGGGCAAACGAATCAAAAAGCGACTTCTGACGCTTGCCCAGCTCTCGCGACGTCGCCGGGAGGGACCCGATCTGCCCAGAGGAGGCTGCGGCTTGGAGATCGGGCGGGGGGTGGTGGCAGGCGGGTGGCGGGGACGCCGCTGTGTCACCGCGGCGGCGCCCGGTGATAAGGGGCAGCCGGGATAACGACGTCGCCAGTTGCGGAGCTGAGGTAACTCTGGGGACTTCGAGCCCCGTGTCATGCGGGGATTTGTCACTCTGGCAGCTTCGCAAACACGGTCGCAAGAAGCCCTTGTTGGAATCAGAGCCGGAAAAAACGCGCCCGGCGGGGGGTGGAGGCGCAGGACCGGGAAAGGCTGAGTCCGGCCACCGCGTTCCAAGGGGGACAAGCAGGACCCGAGGCTGAGTGTCCCGCGACCACACTCGCCCCCGGCGGCCGTCCAGGTGGACACCCGGCGACAGGGGCTGCCAGGGCGGGGAGCCCAGACTCCGGTGACTCCGGCTGGGGGGTGCCCGGAGGCTGGGAAGGGCCTCGCAGAACCTTCGAGGGGGCGGACCGGGGTCGGGCGAGGTGGCCCGTCTGTCCCCCGGGCCACGGCGGCCGCAAGGAGCCGCCGCCAACGCTGCCGTCTGTGCAGACAGACTCGGGGCGCAGACTCTCGCGTGAGGCGTCGCGACCTGTTGACACGGTTCAGAGACACCGCGCGGGCCACGAGACACGTGTCCACGGGGCTCATCCGTGGGCTGCCCGAGTCCCTGTCGCCGCCTCGCGCGATCCCTGCGACAACCTCGCGAAGGGAGGCGCAGGGCGTCCACTTCAGAGCAGAAGGCTCAGAGAGGGCGACCAGATGGCTCCGGGCGCTCAGCAGGCAGGTGGGAGCCGCGGAGCATCCAGGCGTCTCCGGCCACCCCGTGCCGGGCTGCGCCCTTCCTGGCGGGACACGCGACCGGGAAGGTTCCCAGGAACCGCCTAGAACTCTGTGCTTCTGCTTGTGTTCGATGCGTGGCTCGGCTTCCGCCCGGCGGTCGGCCAACGGCAAGAGACCCTTCTCGGGTGACAAGGCCCCAGCCACCGACACCGTGTGCTAAATCGCGGGCGCCGCGTTTGACTGACCTGCCAGTGCTGGCGATGAAGGGCCGTCTCTGGCTCCCCCCACGCGCCCCGGCGACACCCGAGGGCCGTGACTGAGACGCCGAGTCGAGCGCCAGGCTCAGGGGCCACCGGCGAGCAGGGGGGCTGCCAGGGAGGGCCCGGGGGGAGGCCCTGCTCGCTGACCGCCGGCAGAAACCTACGCCCCCCCCCCCCCAGACATTTCTAGCAGGGGCGAGGCCGGGTGGCCCAGTGACCGAGAACGTGGGCTTCGGGAGCGGACGGCCTGTCACCCGCTAGCCACGCGCGAGCACCATGAACCTGTGCGGATTACTCAGCCCGGGTCTGTGTCCTCGTCTTTAAAAAAATGACAATGCTGGCCGGGCGCGGTGGCTCACGCCTGTCATCCCAGCACTCTGGGAGGCCGAGGCGGGAGGATCGCGCGAGGTCAGGAGTTCGAGACCAGCCTGGGCAACATAGCGAGACCCCACCTCTACAGAAAATGAGAAAAATTAGCCGGGCATGGCGGCCCATGCCTGTAGTCCCAGCTACTCGGGAGGCTGAGGCAGGAGGATCGCTGGAGCCCAGGAGTTGGAGGTTGCTGTGAGCGAGGCTGACGCCACGGCACTCTAGCCCGGGCAACAGAGCCAGACTCTGTCTCAAAAAGAAAAAAAAAAATGACAATGCTAGGAGTCTCCCTGCCTCCTGGGTACTGGGGATCCGATGGGATCACGTGGCCCAGCACGTCCCAGCGGAGAGTCCGTGCTCCGGTGCAATAAGAGGGTCTGGGCGAGCGTCCATGCAGCCCTGGTCCCCTCCGCACCCCCAGCACGGCCACTGCGGGTCGGGTGCCGTGGGCTCTGCGGGGCCCAGCCTGGCTTCGCGCCCTGGACGGGCCGCTCGGTGGCCCTGCCGCGAGCGACGGGACGGACGGGGACCGAAACCAACACCCGAAGCACACGAAGGGGGCCGGAAACGAGGAACACACAGTGGCGGGCAGAGCGCGCCCACGCTGGGTGCTGAGGCTGCAAACCAAGCGAGAGGCGACTCCTGCGGGGACGGCTGCGACCGCGCCCGGGGCGAGGCCGGGCCTCGTAAATCCCCGTTGACCAAGCCCGAGCCTCACCCAGACTCGGCTCGTGCAGACTTCCGAGCGCCGCGCGCCAGGCCCTGAGCGAGACGCCCACGCGTCCTTCGCCAAAGCGTCTCACACAGGGTCGGTGTCGCGAGCTCCACGCTCGGGAGCTCCTCTGAGCCGTGCGACGCTCCGTGGACTTGGTGGCAGCCCCCGAGGACTGTCCCCTGAAGCCACACGCTTGCCCAGGGCCAGCCTGCAAAGCCCGTCACGGATCACGCTTTGTGCAGCGGGCGGGCGCCGCCGGGACAGTGTCTGGCCTCAGCCTCTAGCAGGAAAGGCCGTGGGCAGGTGTGACCCGGCCACCAAAAGGCTATCGCTAAACCCTATTACAGCACCTCCCTTTCTTTTTTTCAGAGCTGGTGGCCTCCTGTCGTCGCTTTTTTTTTTTTCGTGAGATAGAGTCTCGCTCTGTCGCCCGGGCTAGAGTGCCGTGGCGTCAGCCTCGCTCACAGCAACCTCCAACTCCTGGGCTGAAGCGATCCTTCTGCCTCAGCCTCCCGAGTAGCTGGCACTACAGGCATGTGCCACCATGCCCGGCTAATTTTTTCTATATATTTTTAGTTGTCCAGCTAATTTCTTTCTATTTTTAGTAGAGATGGGGTCTCGCTATATTGTCCAGGCTGGTCTCAAACTCCTGACCTCGAGCGATCCTCCCGCCTCGGCCTCCCAGAGTGCTGGGATGACAGGCGTGAGCCACCGTGCCCGGCCGAGAGCTGAGTTCTTATCCTGCCCGCATGATAAGGGACGAGTTTCTGGGCCGTTCGGTTTCCTCGTTTGAAGATCGAAGCCGCGAACACCTCCCCATCAGGGCTCACGCGAGGCCTGAAGCGAACACAGGCCACGTCGTCTGAGGCTGACCCCATCTGAGCTGACCCTTGCACGCTGCAGCCGAATGAGCAGATTGTGACACCGCGCTGTGTCCTCGGAGACCACGTCGGTCTGAGACCCTCGCCGCCGCTGGCGACGGGGACGAGATGAGCCCCCCCGACCCGCTCACCCTCAAAACCGGCACGACCTCCACGTCGCCCCCCCGTCCCAGCTCCACGCGCCGCGGGTTCAGAGAGACCCTGAGGACCCAGCGGGCCCAGGGGGGACGGGCGGGCCGGCGGCCGCCCTACCTGACGACACAGTTGCCGCGGTTGGACGCGAAGATGACGATGGGGGCGATGGACGAGTCGAGGGCCCGGTGCAGGTAGGTGAAGCACTCGATGTCCAGCATGTGGACCTCGTCGATGAACAGCACGCCCGGGACCAGCTCGGCGACGCCCTGGTCGATGTACTTGTTCACCACCTTGTTGATCTCGCCGCGGAGCTTGTCTGCGGCGGGGACGGGCGAGCAGGGTCAGCGCCAGGCCGGGGGGAGACCTTGTCTCTCTCCCCCGCCCTGACCCCGCAAACCGGATTCGACCCAAACCCGAGCTTGGGGCCCGGTTCTCCTGCTAGCGCTGTGACCGCGGGCAGGAGACACGGCCCCACTCCAGCCAAAAGGTGACAAAATGGCAGCCCCTCCCCCCTCATGAAGATGTGGTTAGTTAAACTGCAAAGGCCACCCGTGCCCGTGTGCCAGGGCTCAGCGGGCACGTCCCCAACACGGTCCCCGGCGCGCCACGCCACCCCCCACACCCCCGATCCGGCCTCCTGTCTCATCTGGGAGACGCCGGAGTTTGCGGGGACCCCCCGGGCGACAGGAGTTTTCATATGCAAATCGCCCTGTTCTGTCCTCGGCAAACGACCCTCTCTCGAGGTCCCGGGCGACAAAGCTCGGGTTAATTAGCTTTCCATCAGGCGCCCGGGCGGAGGACCGCGGTGCGTTTTTCTAGAATGTTCTCTGGGCGGGAACCTGCGAGGAAGGGACAGCTCCGAGGAGAGGCCCCCCCGTCTCGGAGCTCCCGAAGGGACGGGTCTCTCGAAAGCTACACGACCCGTCTGGGGTCACGGGGCTCGTTTTGCGAATCGGCTCCCGTGCGGTCGGCGGGAGGGAGCTGCTCACAGACAGAGCGGGGCGACCTGCGGCAGGAGCTTCTAGAACAGTCGCCAGCAGGAACCGTGCGCGCTCAAAACCACGTCAAAAGACAAAACGGCTCCTGCCAACCCCGATGGAAAAGTCTCCGATTCCTCCCCCGACTACAACTTACAAAACTAACGTTTTCAGATGACAGAGCTACAGGGGGGACGGAAAAGCTGGGAAGAGAAGCCGGGTAGAAGAAAGGTCGCCGTGGGGGCGGCGGCGTGTCCCCCGCTTAGCCCTGGGAAGTGTCTGGAAGCCGGGCAGGGCAGTCGCCGAGCCGCCCTGTGCTCTGCGGGCGGGACGCCGGGGCCACCGAGGCAGCCAAGGCCGTGCTCCAGCAGGAGCGACCCGCAGAGCTGGGCAGCACAAGCCCCCACGGCTGGGACCCCGAAGGGACCAGAAGCTGTGACAGCCGTGGGGCCAGAGGGCACACACAGCACAGTACACGGTGTCCAAACACAGCCAGACACTGAGGATGGGGTCGCGCTCCGAACTGCCAGGAAGAAGGGACCTGTCGCGAGGCATGTATTTCCCGGGTCGGGAGACGCCCTGAGGAAGCTTCCAGAGCTCATGCGAACCC